CAATACAACTGGACGAGTCGACAGACATTTCAAAAATGGCACAGTTGTTACTTTTTGTAAGATATATTTATGAGGGAAGCATTCATGAAGATATACTGTTTTGTCGTCCTCTGGAAGGTCATACTCGTGGAAAAGATATATATAAAAAAGTAAATGAGTTTTTTGAAAAAGAAGGATTAAATTGGAAAAATTGTGTTGGTGTGTGCACGGACGGTGCTGCAGCAATGACCGGACAAGATCTTGGTTTTACAGCATTTGTTAAAGCTGGAAATGATCATATTACATTTACACATTGTATGATTCACCGAGAGGCACTTGTTGTTAAAAAAATTGCACCAGAATTAAACACTGTGTTTTTTGATGCAGTCAAAATCATTAACTTTATTAAAAGTCGAGCACTTAATAGTCGATTGTTTAAAAATTTGTGCATTGATATGGATTCGGATTATACAAGTTTATTGCTACATGCTGAAGTTAGGTGGCTATCAAGAGGTCGAAGTTTGAAACGATTATTAACTTTAAAAGATGAAGTTCTTATATTTCTAACAGAGCAAAATTCTAATTTGGCCGATTATTTTCAAGATAATTTATGGCTTCTCAAGCTATGCTATTTGGCAGATATTTTTGATAAAATCAATGATATGAATTTATCAATGCAGGGAGTCTGCGTTAATATGTTTATGTTAAAAAATAAACTTGAGGCCTTTGTTAAAAAAATTCTTATATGGAAGAACAGAGTGGAAAGTGGATCGCTCGAAATGTTTCCATTTACTGACGAGTATATAATTAGTAACAATATTTCAAAAAAAGATACTCCTATAACAAAAATTATAGTTAATCATTTGAAGGATATGGAAGTTTACATGCATAGGTATTTTCCCAATGATATCGATACACAACAATGGATTTGCAATCCATTTTCAATTGAAATGGAAGAAATTAATTTTTTAAACTTAAAAGCACAAGAAGAATTTGCCGAATTAACAAGTGATACTACCTTGCGACTTAGATTTTCTCAAGTGCCTGTGCATGAATTTTGGATAGAAATCAAATCAGAATATCCCCTACTATCGGAAATGGCAATGAACAAATTACTGCCATTTTGTACAACATATTTATGTGAATCAGCCTTTTCCACATTAACTTACATAAAATCAAAATACCGTTCAACTTTAATAAACGTTGAAAATTTATTACGATCTGCACTAACTCAAATTGAGCCTAGATTTAATTATTTGTGTAAAAATAAACAATCACATCCGTCACATTAATATTGTTTGATGTTAATAATATGTTTTTATTAAAAAAATTGTTACAAAAGTTTATTTTTTCTATTGAATATATAGATATAGTTTTATGTTTTCTTATAAAAAAATTGTTACAAAAGTTTATTTTTTCTATTGAATAAATATATATATAGTTTTATGTCATTCTATTTATTGTGTTTTATTACGACCGATATCCCGTCAACGTTTCCAATTATATATATGTGAAATGAATGGGTACGTATTCTTTAATCCTTATTTTATTTACATTGTAAAATAGTGCGATATTACATCTACATCTACGGTTAATATATATTTCATTATATGGAGGAGGGGGTCGTTTAAAATTTCCTAAGCTTGAAGGGGGTCGCTATATAAAAAAGTTTAAGAAGCCCTGCTTTAAACTATTATCTTAAAAGCAAGTGCATATACCACTCAGTTAGGGATCAATGTAGTTAAAAAAGCAAATTTTTAAAAATTTCCGCACTTGTCTTTGCGAAAAAAACATACAAAAAGGAACTTTTTTCTCTTAGTCTGTGGTTCAAAACATGTGTGCTATAATCATAAACTCTCATGAAAAAAATTAGACAATTATTTTAAAAGCAACATGAGATATCATGTTCAGGGTAGCGTAAAATGTGCAAAATTCTGATTTTGAGATAAACACATTTAAAGACTTGAATTAAAAATCCATCCACTGTTATCATCTTGCACAAAAACAGCTATAACTTGGTAAATAATTAGAGTACAAACAAAAGTATATTTAGAAAACTAAGAGTGCAAGGATTTTAAATTTATAATAAACTCAATTTCGAAAATTTTGCGCAATTCATGTTTGCACTAGACAGATAACTTAAGAGTGATCATTTTAAAATACTACAAAAAATCCTGTATGAAAAATAAAAGCGTATAACCCTATAACTTTTAATTTTATGGTGAGAATGGATTTTACGGTAAAAGGGGTTTCATTGCTGCTGTACTCAAGGCACCAGTACTCTTGCCTGATAAATTTTTTACAGTGTAGCTCATAAAATTTTTTTACTGTGTAATATTGTTTCTGTTTTAAGGAAAAATTTGAGCTACGGTAGTAATATAGTGTATGATGGTGTAATGATCCACTCCGCACGGAGAAAAGAATTCCGGAAAAATTACAATAGTGTATGGTAATGCCACTTCTGGTGAAATAACGATAATTCTGGTTGATGAAACCAAATTATAGGGTATTAAAACCATTCATTTGGTAATTTTGCCATTCATATGGTAACGGTTTACCGGAATTTCTGGTTTTCGAAATTATAGCTCTTATTACCATGCATTTAGTAAGGAATATAAAACTGAAAAGTAAAATTAACCGAATAAATGGTTTTGATGCCATGCTCATGATATAATTGTGAAATTAAGCGACAACTGCTAACAGTGTCAATGTCGACTTTCAGTTATAAAGCCTCCATTATATTCATTGCTAACATAAAATCAAAAACAAAACTAGTTTGAAGAAAACTGAAAAATATATTTTATTCAATAAAATACGAAAAAAAATTTCAAAATTTTAATATTTAAAATTTAATAAAAATTGAATACATAAGAGGAAGTCTAAAGAATAGCATAATTAGTTGTCTGATTAATTAATTATAATAAAACTCCGTTTGTGCCTCGTTTAAATAATCTACGTATGAATTGTGTTTTAATGAATCGGAATTTATTGCTATTCATAATGTTTATTGTCATTTCTTTATGGAACGATATATTTTATGCAAATTAAATTGAAATCAGGAATACTCGATGTAAAAATTTCTACAACCGCAATTTAAATTTTAAAAAATACAAATGACTTATATTAATCTTTTTTTACATGAAAACAACTAATTCCGCATCTCTTTCATAAATTTAAGAAAAAAATTCTGGCAGTTCTTTCGTTCGTTTGGCCATCCTACTAGTCTAAAATTTAAATTATTCTTGAAGTTAAAAAAAATATTTTTATACAATTTTGTTTGCACAAAAAATAAATTTTTCTTTTTTGAAATTTACATTTCAGCGTTTTTCATTCCCTTTAACTTTTTTTTTAATTTTTCATGATATATAAATTATGCGGAAATGTCTTTAAAATTATGCGATAAGGATGCGGTAAAAAATTATGCGGATTTTAAGTTATAGTGTTTTAAAATTATGCGGATAGTTACCAAATGGCGTAGAAAATAACTAAAAATCAGAATTAAAAAAATTAAAAAAACAATTTAAAAACTTGCTCTTTTCCTTTTTTTTCCCTTGATTTAGTCAAATTAATTTTTTAATTATTTTGGTAAAGATTTTAACTAAGTTATCTCTCATCTATATAATCAACATCACAATAAAGTTATTAAATAGAATAGAAGCTGAACATTCCTACAAATTTTCTCTTTGTATTTGCTTTATTAGATGAGCTGCTGCATTTAAATTATGAAAAAAAAAACATTTAACTAATCAAGATCTGTCGAGTTTGAGTATAAAATAAAGCATACTATTAGTTACTAACAAAATTAGGAATGAACACACAACGCCAATCGTCTACAACTCCAAATCCCGATTTGTAATTCTTTGATTGGATCAGTTATTATTTATTGTGTTATTGTTTTAAAATTGAAGAAATGTTAATTGCATTTCTAGTAAAAAAATTAGCATGCAAAAAATATTATCTTATCTATTTATTATAGTGATAGATACAATGTCATTTATTTAATGAATTAGTAATTCTTACAATTAAAGAAAATAAATAATTTAATTCTTCACTAACAAACGAAAAAAACAGCAATGAAAATATTATTTCAAGTTGTTCAATACAAATTTTATACACAAACAATGACTGTCATATCTGTACGGTGTAATATAAGTAATATAGCTGCGCAATTAATGATAAAAATAAGGGTAAACAAATAATTTTAATTTAAAGAAATGTGACATGGAAAACAATTGTTACTTTTACTCTAGTTGTATTGTTACACTAGTATTTCATTTGATTGAATGTTTCAGTAATTTTCAATTTGCACAATATACAAGAAATTAAAAGTTATATAACAGTGCTCGCTTTAACAAAAAAGTGACATCAGAAATAAGGTAAGGATTTATGCAAAATATCAGATCATACTAGTTTGGCATAAGAAAATAAAAAACTTATAGTAGGAATTAGTTTCAAGAAATTGTCTGTCACATTTGCTGTGTTCCCAGTAGTGCAATTTACATAATAAATAAATAAATAAAAAAATAAAGTGATAATAACATTTAAAATATTGCACCAAAAATAACAGTGAAGGTTTTTTCATAAAGCAATAGGTTTAAATGTCATAAATCAGTAAGTTTAAATTCTGCAAATCAGTAAGTTTAAATTTCTTAAATCAGTAAATTTAAATTCCATAAATCAGTAAATTTAAATACCCTAAATCAGTAAGTTTAAGTTTCATAAATCAGTAAGCTCAAATTTCATGAATCAATCAGTTCAAATTCCATGAATCAGTAAGTTTAAATTCTATAAATCAGTAAGTTTGAATTCTCTAAATCAGTAAATTTAAATACCATAAATCAGTAAGTTTAAATTCCATAAATCAGTAAATTTAACTACCATAAATCTGTAAGTTTAAATCCCATAAATCAGTAAATTTAAATACCGTAAATCAGTAAATTTAAATTTCATAAATCAGTAAGTTTAAATTCCATAAATCAGTTTGTTTAAACCCGGCATGCAATAAAGAAATTAAAACTTACTGTTACACTATCCACTAATTGTGGGAGACGAATTGGATCATCAGTACTTCGTCTTCTAAGAGATACATCATTATTAGCAGCCCTGTTATAAAAACTTCCACAGAAGGGACACATGGTCCTTGCCCTTGAAGGAACGATGCTGATCCGGCATGATGGGCATGTGATGGACGTGTTGGACGTCCGATTTTCTTCCGTTACGTCCATCGCGAGTGACCATCCAGGTCCTCCAGTGGTCACTCGAATAAAGTTGGACATTAGGTGACGGACAGGGCGTCATATGTCATTGATCGGTTACGGAGTTTTGCGTGAGGCGACCTTCGTCCAGCAATACAATCCGTTGCTTAGAAACTATATAAAAACAAACCCCCTTTCGAGCAATAACTAGATCCTGGATTCGGATGATGGGGCAGGTGTCATCAAAAATTAAAAGCCCTATCTTTACTTGAGCGTGAAGTTCGAATTTACATTCTGTGATGGAATCTGGGTACATAAGGGAGGGGATCTTTAAATTAATTGGATATTTGCTTCAATTAAAACGGATGACATATTTTTTACTTTTACAACATAGTCTAACAAGGATGGAAAACGAGATAGATTTTTGATTAGAATAACAAATATCTCGTATTACTAGAACACTATTTATTAACTGAACTAATTTCCTTTTAATCTGTTTTGATTCATACGCTCAACATCACACGTTCATCCAGTATCATTTCCTTAAGGGCAAGGAGTATTTTCTCGGGTATCAGTTTTTATATCAGGGGTGGTGCATCTCTCAATTAAGATGCATCTTATAATGTGTTTTTAATTACTATATAATAGTTCGACATCTTACAATGAAAACTTTATTTTTAAGATATCCTAATAAAATAATAAAAAGGGTTATCGTATCTTTATCAGAATTATATATACAAATTATTAGACGTACTATAAGATTCTATGGGAAATCTTACTTATCAGGTGATACTATACGCGACTGAAACCGGTTTGAACTTACTTACGTTAGTGGATCAATTTGCTCATTAAGACGATATATAACATAAATTCGACGATTGGATAAATTGGACGAAAAATTACATAAATAGAGAATATTTATTATATCAGGTATTATACACTCTATAACAAAAAAATGGACGCTCCAAGAACGCACTAAGACGCGCAAAATCGACGCTCGATCAGGCTGGAATGATGCCGACTGGGGAGGTACAGTCTTTAGCGACAAATCCCGCTTCCAACTGTGCCCTGACGATCATCGAAGACGTGTTTGGAGACGCACAGGGCAGAGGGGGTATCCTGCCTTCACTATTGCACGCCACACCGGCCCTCAACAAGGCATTATGGTCTGGGGTGCCATTTCCTTTGACAGCCGGACCCCTTTGGTCGTCATTAGAGGTACACTTACTGCACAGCGGTACGTCGACGACATCCTAAGACCTGTTTTGCTACCGTTCCTTTTGCAGCGCCCTGGGCTGGTTTTTCAGCAGGACAATGCCAGACCACATACGGCACGTGTTGCTATGAACTGTCTGCAAGCTTGTCAAACTCTTCCTTGGCCTGCCAGATCACCAGATCTCTCTCCCATCGAGCATGTCTGGGATATGATGGGAAGGCGATTGCATCTGGCACGGAATGTTGATGACCTCGTTCGACAATTGGATCGAATTTGGCAGGAAATACCGCAAGAGACCATCCGGGAGCTTTATCGGTCTATGCCACGCCGTATGGCAGCTTGTATCCAGGCTAGAGGCGGGTCAACACCTTATTGAACGTGTTACTGTAACTCTGCAATAAATTATTCAATTGTTCCGAAATTTTAAACATTTACTATTCTGAACATTGTCTTCTTATCCACGAATTTTCGTTTCAATCGGACGACTCCTTCTTGGTGCGTCGATTTTTTTGTTATAGAGTGTATTAGTATATTATTATAATTAAAGTGAATTATTTGACTCACTATAAGATTTTATGTTAAATCTTAATTATCAGGTGATACTATACAGCTTTATTGTTTCTTCGTGACTGAAACCGGTTGGTACTTGTTTACGTTTGTGAATCAATTTGTTAAATTAGACGATATGTAATATAAATTCGACGATTGGAGAAATTGGACGATATATTACATAAACATAGAATATTTACTATATCAGGTATTATATTAGTATATAATAATAATTAAAGTAAATTATTTGACGCACTATGAGATTCCATGCTAAATCTTAATTTTCAGTTGATACCATACAGCTTTATTGTTTTAACTCGGCTGAAGCCATTTTGCACTTGTTTATGTTCGTGTATCAATTGGTTAACATTATAATGCAATACGTTAAAAATAAATACAAATAGGAAGTATATAAAAAATCTCATGAATAAAAACCCATTGTATGTATGTTTAAATATAAAAGTATTGCATATAAAATCGTGCAAAACACGCAATTATTAAAACACTACAACGCATCTAATAATTTGGTCGAATTATTATAATATACTAATATAATACCTGATAATAAATATTCAATATTTATGTAATATATCGTCTAATTTATCTAATCGTCGAATCCATATTAAATATCGTCTAATTTAACAAACTGATACACGAAGGTAAACAAACTGGTTTCAGTCGCGTCAAAACAATAAAGCTGTATAGAGTATCACCTGATAATTAAGATTTTGCATAGAATCTTAAAGTGCGTCGAATAATTTGACCAGGGATTGCAAATCAAAATAAAAAAAAAGAACCAACATTAACTTTTTTGAAGCATTTTAAAAACCGATTTAGAAATAAAACAAAAATTGATCATTGTTGGCGATTGACATTGAAATTGATTCCTTGAAAACATGATTCTTATAAAAGTCTTGCACATGTTTTAATTACTGGATTGAATTGAAATTTAGACCTGAAGAGATCTTATCAGCCATCATTAAACTTTAAAAAAAAACTATTATCAGTTATTATATGTGACGGGTAACTGATCGGTCAATTTTGCATAATTGATTCTTGAAAACTAACAGAGTATGGTAAAATTTACCGTGTATTTGGCTCTATGGGAATACCAAAAATCTCGGAAATTGTTACCGAAGCGCTTTGGTTATGATTATGGTAAAATTAACAATAAAATATGGTTTTATAATATGTCATAAAATTTGGAAGATGTAGTAAAATATGGAAATTTTATACCGAAGTCTTGAATTATGACACGACAACCATTTATTTGGCTAAATTTACTTTTCCATTTTGTTATTTTTATTAATATGTGGTAAAATGTATTATAATTTTAAAAACAAGAATTTCCGAAAATCGGTTACCGTATGAATGGAGAAATGATCAAATGAATGGTTTTAGTACTGTATGTTTTAGCTTCATGTTACCATACACGTCATTACCATACAGTACGGTAATTTCACTAGATTTTTTTTCTTTGTATATAATGGTCAAAAATTGAACCAGTTTTTCTGAGAGTATAGTATGAATCAGTTCTTTTTTATTTTCAAGTCAAACTTGAAAGCAGTTTTTTCTTCAATGTCCTGAACAACAACAAAATTATGTAACAGAATCAATTGGTTTGAATAACTGCTTTATTGCTACTATTATTAAAGTGTTAAATTATAACATTTGTAAGTTTCCGTATGTTGTTCCGTAAGTTTGTAAGGTTCCGTAAGTTGTAGGGTTCCGTAAGCCTGTCCAACCGTATATTGGACAATTATGCCGCAACTTTCTGATGCTAAGTCTAGACATAAAATCACACTTCTTTAATTTGATTACATGATTTAATTTATATATAGTTTAAAATAGCAACATAGTTTAAAATAACAACATAGAAATATAGTTCAAAATAACATCATAATTCGGTTGCATTAATTTAAAACCATATTATGGTTCTAAGAACTGATATTTGAACCACATATGGTTGAAATATAATCCATATATAAACCATATATGGTTCAAATATAATCCATTTATAAACCATATATGGTTCAAAGATAATATTTTAACCAAATATATACCATATTATTGGATTATATTTGAAACATATATTTATGTGTATTACATTTGAACCATATGTAAACCATATATGGTTCAAGTATAATCTATAATCCATATATAAACCATATATGGTTCAAAGAACATATGTGCCGACCGGCCTGTGTAGAGGTCAGGGAACTGTCCTTGTATCAGAAAGGTTCTGGGTTCGAATATCGGGCAAGGCATTCTCTGTACTACCTGTCCTTACTGTGGGAGCAATGATTGCCCACCTAATAGGGTGCCTAACAAATCTGCCCTTCAGATGCTTGTATGACGTAGGTCATTCCCCAGGCGGGCATTATGAAAAAGAAATGTTGCATTGGCATATTAGGACGAAAAAAATATTGCAATATTGTCAATAATTCCTGTAAAAAGGGTAAGACAATATTTTTAACATAGTACTAATTAGACTAATAGATTGAAATGAAATTTTTTATTTTTAGTAAACAAAATGAAATTTTATCAATATTAAAAAGTAAAGTTCAAAAGTAAGAAAGTAAAGTTTCTCTTAAAATTCCAGTTTTTTCTGATTTTTAAAAACAGTATAAAACACGTTTTAATTAAAATTAAATAAACGTAAAGTAACATAAAGTAAATCGATGAAAAGATATCAATAACTTGTGTGAAGGTAAATTATTTAATACCGTAATAATATGTCACATTTTGATCTTTTTGCTCATTTTAATTTCACTAAAAAAGTGCTCATTTTTTCATTTACTTTGATTCAAGCATGAGATTGTATTAAAATAATATATTTATAAATAAACAAATAGAGAAGGTGCACTAATATAATTGCGCCAATTTTTTTCTTTGCAAAATACAAAACAATTACTTAACACTAAATTATTTAAATATAGGTATAAATAATTCATAAGTTATAAATATTTATAATTCTGAATAATTTACTTCTTAGGTATTTCCATAGAATACTAAACAAAATATTCAGAGATAATAAAATGGTACAATTGAGTAAATGTTTCTATCTGAGATTTAAAGTCAATGGCTAATTGATACATATAAGTAAATTTTAAGAGAATAATAGCCATTAACCGAACACTTTTAGCATTTAATCAGCAAACTAATTCCATAAACCTTGTTGCATGCATTCTAGTCATTAATACTTACAAAATGATGAAATAAAACACAGAATTCTTTGCAGTTATTGGAATTTCCAGCAAATGTTCGAAAAAGAAGAAAGGAAAGTTCTGATTTCCGTGACTTGTGGCCATCCTTTTCGAAACTGTCTTCCATGAAAAGAAATTGTTTCTTTTAATATTTGAAATGCTTTGTAGTTAACGATGTTTTCAACTTAAAGAGAAACAAATGATCTACTTTACGTTGAATTTTATATTTTGTGTAATTATTTATTTAGCTATTTATTTTTTTAAGCAAAGTTGAAGGAATTTAAAAAAAAAATTTCATGTTCTCGATCTTCAAACTGATTTTTATATTTTCTTAAGATTTGAGCTGACTTAAATTGCATATTCTAGAAGTATAGAACATGAAAAATATGCTCTTCCCTGATTATCCCTCGGGTATGTATATATTGCAAATATTTATTATCAGGCATGGCAAAATTCGTCAATACGTTTTGTTTTATCACGTTTTTATTCGGCCGGAAGCAAAACAAAAAATAATCTGCCGGGATTAGAAATTTGCCAATTTTTGTTTGAGAGTTTTGCTGTTTGTGGGACTGCAGACGTGATTTGTATAATTGTATATACAATGGCGTATGAATTGACGTAGAAAAAAGAGTAAAAAAATGGCTTTTGCGAGCGAAAGTAATGATTATGAAGATGGAAATACATACGAAGACTCATATTTAACTTTTTTCATTTGCCCGAGATAATTTGGGATAGTAAACTGCTAGTAAATTAAATATTTTTTACACGTAAAAAAATTAAAATTTCAACTTAGAACTTGTGTGTTATGTTTTGTTTTAGTTCCTTGTATTTATTAATAAAATAAAAATATATGTTGATTTTTTGCATTTTTCCCCCAAAAAAATTGGTAAAGGAAGTGGGTTAAATTGCCTCATATACTGAAGAAAACGTTAAAGTCAAAAAAGAGGTTCAACCGGTTGTAATATGTAACAAGCTCTACTTTGTGTTTGCTTGAGATAACCTCTTCGCAAGTTTCAGAACCAGTTTTTGTTTATTTTCAGAGCAAAGATGAGGTTTTTACGAGGAAAATATTTACGTTTTGGCTTTAAGCTCCATTAACAGTTAACTTAGCTCGTCACTGAATGAATAGTTGACTAGTTGTCCATTACTTCACGCTTGTGCAGTGTGGATCTATACCGCTGTAAAGCCAACCTTTAACTCTTCCATCGTGACGGACGAGATAATTCGTCTTCCGAGAATGTCCGCTGAGTATTATTGTTGTAAAAGTGAGTATTTTAATTGATTTCTATCCATTTTTGCTTTTTAAAGTAAAATAAACAAGTTTAATGGAACTTCGATTTTGTCTCAGTTTTAGTACTGTAGCGCAGAGAGTGGAAAAACAGTGCCGCGATGAAACTATTAAGCATTGAAATACTGTCTGAATACTGTCTGTTTACATAATTTTCAAATGGATTTGCCACAGCCGTGATGGCTCAGGGGATAGAGCATTCACCTTCCATTGTGGTGAACCGGGTTCGAATCCCGGCGATGGCTGATCGATACGAATTCCGCAGCCGGCTTGCACCGACCACAGTGCTGACGTAAAAATATCCTCAGGGGTAGACGGATCGTGGATTAGACTCCATGGAACGCAAATGCGGGTTAGTTCCATCAAAAAGTTCTCCACGAAGGTAAATTTTTCCCAATATCTGATCCAGGAGTTCCCTTGTCTTCTGGATTGGGTTCAAAACTATAAGGCGTTGACATTAGTTGTCGTAAACCCAAAAATTGGGTCGGCCCTTCAACGACGATTATAAAATAAAATAAAATGTCAAATATAATACTTTTTAACTCTAAATTTGACTTTTTCAAACTTGATCACTCTATATTACCTGTAAACGTATATAAAACAATAATAATGATATCGTCTGCTACGAGACATTTATGGACGAAAATAAAAGTTTAAATTCCTTAAAGTAATTATCGACTATTTATGAGAAATTTTCCCGAGTTTTAAAGTATATAAATATTTTTACTGTATTTTTAATAGACAAAAAATGAAATTGTGGACAGTTAAAATATAAGCTGAAATACAAAAAAAAGTTGTAACAAGAATTACCGGGTTTAATACATGCCAATAAGTGAGCCAAACTTGTTTTTCTTTTTACAAGCGCACGTTTTATAAATTTAAGGATTTTGTTTCTCTTCTTGATTACATTCTTCAAAATTACAACTATTATTTTCATTAGAATCTGTATGGATGGCTCTCTCGCCTCTCAATGAGATGACCCGGGTTCAAATTCCATCAATGGCTGGTCGATTCCGCACCCGAATCGCACTGACCACAGTGCTGATTAAAAAAATATCCTCAGTTCTAGACAGATCGTGGGTTAGAGTGCCCTGCCGTCTGGCTAACCGTGGGAGGTTTTCCTCACTGTGCAACGCAAATGAGGGTTAGTTCCATCCAAAAATCCTCTACGAAAGCAAATGTCTTTCACTACTTGATCCAGGAGTATCCTATGTCTTCTGGATTGGGTTCAAAATTACAAGGCTACGGAGTTGAACGGATCCAGAACGGAATCGGATAGAATAGTCATAAACCTGAAATTAGGTCTGCTGTTTAATGACTGTTATAAAATAGAACCTGTATTTGTCTCCTTTTTTAACTATAGATAATAATAATATAATAGAGCAACATTTCATATTGTAGTATAAATAATTCTTAAAAGTGCCACTAGTATAGTTAAGGAGAAACAACAGAGTAAAATTTTCAAGAACTGAAAAAAAGAATTATTGCTCTTTTTGATAGTTTAGTCTTTTAACATCAAAATATTAAAATTATTTTGGTGCTACATCGGACGTGTATAATCATGTACGCTCAGTTGATTAATAGATTTGCATACTCCTATCGAAACATTTCACTAAAATTCTACTTTTTTACTGAAATAATTCGTTTAAAATATGTAAACAAAGAAACAATGGTACTTTCAATATAAATAGACGAAAATGCAACTTATTTAGCTATAATAATTTTTGATGAAGATTGCAAATGGTTTTTTTATTTTATTCATAACCGTCGTTGAACTACCGACCCAATTTTGGGTTTACGACTACTAACGGCAAGGGAACTCGTTAAGGAGTTATAAATAGATAATAAATAGATACGGAACATAAATAGATAAAATTGTAACTTATTTAGCCGTAATAACTTTTAATGAAGGTTGTAAGGGGTTATTTTATTTATAACCGTCGTTGAACAGCTGACCAATTTTGGGTTTACGACTACTAATGTTCAACTCCGAAGCCTTGTAATTTTGAACCCAATCCAGAAGACAAAGGAACTCTTGAATCAAGTATTAAGAGAAATTTACCTTCGTGGTGGACTTTTTGAAGAAACTGACCAACATTTGCGTCACATGGAGAGGAAAACAGCGAAAACCTCCCATGATTAGCCTGATGGCAAAGGGACTCGAACCCATGATCCGACCAATGAGGATATTCAGGGGTGATTGTGAGTCCAAGTCAAAATTCCGGAAAATTTCCTGAGTAAAAAAATTAAAAAAAAAAACGGTTTAAATAGAAAAAAATTTAAACAAAGTTTTTTTTCTTCCTTTTTCTCAATATTTCTTAGTTTACTTAAAATATATTTAAAATTTTACACATACCTATAATGACCAGGAGAAGTAATTAAAATTTACAAATATGTCTTTTTTTCTTGAGTTTATGATTATAACAACTATTTACTGATAAAAAATGAATATTAATCATGAATATAAGCTTATAAAGTATCTCTCTGGCTCTCCCTTACAAACAAATAAAATAAACTGTGTTTTTAAGTTCCACCTTTGAAAATTTGATTTCCGGAAACTTCTGTGATCAATGATTTTTTGAAACTTCCGGATCACTGTTAGCGAAAAATCCGGATTTTTTCCGGAGCACAATCAGCCTTGGATATTCTACGTCAGCACTGTGATCGGTGCAAACCGAAAATCACATCGACCAGCCATCGCTGCGATTCGAAGCTGGTTCACTGCATTGGAAAGCGAACGCTCTATCCCCATCACAGCTCGTAAAGGGCAGTTTTGGAACAGTTAGAAATAAATGTAGCCAAAGAATGATCTGTAAAGGAAGATAACCTACTCTAAAAGAAAGTATAATGCGTAATGCGTGACATGAGGGTAGATCGACAAAAAAATGTGCTGAAAAGGATTGAGAAGAAGTATATTTTGGACCTGGTACTGATGCATTCTAAATAGTTGCAAAATTTTATATATTTATATAGATCACAAAATTTTAACATCATTTTTAATCGAAAATATAAATCTCTTACATGATGTATCTCTAACTAGTACAATTTTTGACAAATTTAATAAAAACTGTAGTGCAATTTTCGCAATAAATATAGTTTTCGTTCCACGTAGGGATTTTTCTATATTGGGTTGAATTTTTGAGTATTCCATGAAAATGTAACTTACTTTATGACATTTTTTTTAAATTTATTTTTCAAGCACCGCTGTTTTGAGAAAAAAATCAAAATAAAAGGAGTGCCACGAAAACTACTTTCTTGTAGTTTAAGAAAAGAAAAGCGGAATCAAATTAAGATGATTTTTTACAGCAAGTTACTTATAAGTACAGCAAGTTATGGAAATTTAAAAAAAAAAAAAGGTTTAAATAATGTAGTATATGAGCAATAATTTTTTAATTTTTTTTGTATTTGTAGAAGGATAAAATAAAGATTAAAATGTATAAAAGGCTCAAAAAATAAAAAGACCACCCTGAATAAAATTTGATCTAATGATAGGACTTTCGCGTTCGATGGGGAGACAGCAAATATGTTAATTAATTAGTGCAGACGATATTTTAAGCTAAGAAATCAGGCCCGAAAACGCACTTTCTCTGAATAAACATGTTTTTCTCCACGCATTTGGATTTTTGAGGGCCAAAATATAGAGGATAACTGGGAAATAAGGTCCCAATATTTTGGTCGGACAAGAGCAAAGTTTGGATGTTATTATTTCTGAAATTCATATTGAGAACTTTTCAAGCTAATAGAAAAAAATTGGTAAAGGAAGCGGTTAAACAACACAAGAATTTTAAAAAGTAAGTTCTCTCAATTGTGGCTGATTTGGTGTCAAATATTTGAATATATTTTTCAGTAAAGACACATTTATGATTTAATACTTTATTACCAACGTCATATTTGCAATGAAGATACATAAAATATTATAAACAATATGAAAATGCAATAAAAATATAAATGTAATAATCAACACAGTTTTATATATTTAAGTAACTTAATTTGTTATAATTTTTCAAAATATCCCATTTCTGTTGGAGATATTTAAAATACTGTCTAAAACAATTATAAAATTTTCAAATAAGAAAATTTATACTTAGAACTAATATTTTAAGACATTTTTAAAGAAACTAGTAATAATAATAATATACATGAAATGGAACAACTTACACTTTAACAAGTAACTACTGATTAAACCATGACAACAATATAAAAATAGTAAAAGCTGTATAAATTTGAGCAACGTTGTTAGAGCAATTAATTTCTTAACTAAATTCGGATAAAGTCACTTAAATTGTAGTTCAATGTTAAATTGAATCGCACAATATACTTTTTTCTTCTTATTGTTTAGTAAAAATTTATCATTTAAATTTGTTGTTACATTTAATCTCAATGAATAATTGAATTACAATGAGCTTCGATTTAATTAATTTATTTTAAATGTAATTTTTAGAGTTCAATACATAATATATCGGCTGATATAGTCAATAAATTTAATTTAAAATGCCAAAGAATATTCTATAAACACAAAATGGCAATTGAGCTTCAGCTGCTAACATTGCATATTTAAAAAATGGCATTAGTTAAAATGTACAGAAATAAACACGAACAATAAAAAAAGCACAGCAAATTAAAAACTAAACAATCACTTCATAAAAAAAGACAAAACTAATTAATAAAGTTATAAGTTAGGAGGCTACTTTTAAATGTCATATATTAGGAAAATACAAGTTTTTCAGTTAGGTTACGTACAAAAGTGTACACTTGGTATAAGAAAACAAGCTCATGATTATTAACACACATTATTTACAGTATACATATAATGTAAATGTATGTTATAAAAATACAGCTGGGTTCATTTTCATAGAAACTGTATAAATAGTCCTTCTTTTTAAGGTTTGCACACAGTTTTCACAAAATGTTTCTTATTACCGAAATTAAACTCACTACTTACTTTGACTAAGTAGAATTTAAGAAACAAATTTTCTCAATTTTGCTTAAGTGTATTAAGCTTTTTAAAAGATAATGTAATTTTCTTTTGTATTACGAAAATGCTTTAAATAAAATCCTTTTTTTCAAATAAATAATTTTTAAACAAAGATTAATAATAGAATAAATCTTCAGTTACTGCAATTTTCTAGGAATCTAAATTGTATTTTTAAAACAAAAGATAATGTAATTTTCTTTTGTATTACGAAAATGCTTTAAATGAAATCCTTTTTTTCAAATAAATAATTTTTAAACAAAGATTAATAATAGAATAAATCTTCAGTTACTGCAATTTTCTAGGAATCTAAATTGTATTTTTAAAACAGTAATAGCTAACTTTTTTTTTAATAAAAGTGAAAATTTAAATTAACAACAACGAATTCCATGTATTTTTTTTATTTATATTTCATATTCTAAGACCACACATATTCTCAATCAACTATATTTCTAAAATGAAAAATTTTAGGAGATTCATGATAACGAACATTATTCATAATAACGAGGTTCATAATAATGAGATTCATAATAACGAACAAGTACAAAAGCCATTATTCTAAAAGAGGACAAAACAAACAATCTCCGATATTAAAAACAGACAAAAAGATAAAAAATATTTTTCATTGGAATGATTACATTTTTCCAATTGTCAATCAAAAATTAAAATTAATATTTTTTACTTTGAAGAAACCTTATTAATATGTATACTACATTTCATTAATATTACAATATATTATTTCTATGGGAAGTTAGATTTAAGATTTTGGGGATAATGCTTAAAATAATCCCCCCCCCCAAAAAAAAAAGTTTTTTTGAGTAGCACTTTTAAAATTACTTTCTATCAGAAAAAAATAAATCTTCTAACAAATAACATGCTATTTTTAAACTGTTATGAAGTTGTATCAGTTATAGAATAACAGTCACACACATGATAATGAAAATTTTAATCCAAAAAAAATCCATGCGATTTTTATAAAAATGAAAAAGCATTAAAGACAAGTTCATCAAATTAAAAAGTAATGCAATCAAAAAAATCAGGAATAGCTTTAGAGTATTACATATATTCTACGTAAAATACTGAAGAAATTGTTTCATACAGTTTTATTACAAATGAAAAAATTAAATTTTAATTTAATTATAATTAAATTATTATCGTTAATTTAATTTTAACTATAGTTAAAATTTTATAAAAAAGGCAGCTGCCTTGGTTAAACGAAATATGTTCACTTTTTTTCACTCAAAAAAAAAAAAAAAAAAAGTAAATTATAGGTTATAACTCATAGTCACTTAAAGATGTAGCATAAATTATAATTTTGCGGGCAGTGATGTCAAATGTAAAGAATTTATATAAAAAATTTGTCAACTAATCATCCGTTGATTTATTAGCACAACATAGTGGTCAATTTTCATGTAGTGACATCTTACAAAAAATTTATTTGACTAATTACTAGTCGATGGTCCACTCAACAATACAATTACATATAGCAAAAACTTTCAATTCGTTACTTGAGTTCATTATAAAATTTATTTTTCGTACTAAAATGCTAGTCATTCATTAGTTCGGTAATTCAAAAGCATTACATCAAAGTGCTTATATCTAACAAAAGTTTATTTTTTAACTACTTATAAGTTATAATTGAATTTAATGATATAATTAAGAACAGTAAAATTTAGTAGTTAAATAACCTATAGGAAAAAATTTATACTATACAAATTATGAATGAATTAATCACTAAATTCATTCATTGACAAAATAAAGGATTTTTGCATATTAATATTTAAAACAAGTTCATTTTCTTACTTTCAGTTTAGTTTAAATTATTTTTTAATCACTTATTCAATTTATAGATATTTCAAATGATTTAACAAAAAAAATAATCAATGAGGAAAGATGGTACAAAAAAAATCAAATATCTTATGAACTTTTCTCAGCAGGCACAACAACAAGAAGTTTTTGTAGTGTACAATACGTTGAATCTGAAGAAAAAAATAAATTTGTGAATTAATTATTGAGTTCTCAAAATAAACAAGCATTTATTGAACAGATTTTTTAAAACATTTATATTTTCTTCGATTATGGGATTATTAAGTTTTTTTATAAATAGAGTAAAGAATAGTTCATCATAAAACAAACAATTAAACTCCCACCTTTTAAAAAAAAGAAATAGCCCTGTTCATTAGCTAAGCTTCTTAATTTTTTCTAAAAACTTTTGCTTTGTTGATTAACTTTAGTTATTTGATTGAATTAGTATCTGAATTACTATTTTGTATTCATCGCAATTGGTTTTTTTATGCTAAATTTTGTACATTTTCATTTCACAAATATGCTCTATTTTCACCAGAGAGTTACCGACGTTCTGAAATTAAACCAGAAAATCCAAGAGGCAAAAAAGCGAATCCAATGAAACAGATATCATAAGACAGAAATGTACTTGTAAATTAAACATCCTACGAATGCACAGGAAATATTTACAAAAAAAAAAATTCTAAATATTTTATAAAATCCATTTTGTGCGATTACATTTGGATTAGTAATTTACGTTTACAACTCAGAAACGTCTTTATAAAATTGAAAGGACACAGACTGTTCTATAATCATCACCCTTAACATGTATTATTAGAATAATTGTCAAAAGTGAAATAAAAGAAAGTTTACTCATTAAGGTCAAAAATGAATTTTTAGTATATTTCTAGTTTAAATTTTAGATAATAATTTATTCGCTTTGAAAATAATGTGCATTTTGACTTTATCTTAAACACTAAAAATTTAATATCTCTGCATTTTCAGTTAAAACGTGATATATTTTTATTGATATCTTTATGCTATCATAAGGCGATGTTATATAGAAAAAGCAAGAATATTGACACTTTTAATACTAAAGCTTCTACCACAGTTATCTCAAAATGATCTGTAATTTCATAAAGTAATAAAAACAATTTAGAAAAAGATAGAAATGTATGATTTGCCCCGTTCCGCTTAGGAAACAAATTAATGAATTCTCACTAAGTTTCAAACTAAGTTACAAAGTTCGTTAACAGATGAGCTGCGAGCTAGAAAAAGGAAGAAAAAAATCAATTTTGTCAAACTAACTATCATTTGCAGCAACAATGTTTGGCAGTTTGTGGATAAAAAGTAGTCGGAGTAGAAAACTTTGATTTAGAGTCTTTCAAACAATAGCTCCATCTTTAGTCAAACTTCGTAACTTATTTTGAAATTTGATAAGAAAAATATCTGGTTTCCCAAGCAAAAATGTATCAAGTCATACACTTTTACCTGTTCTAATTTTTTTTTTTGAAACTGATTTTTAACACTGACGGTATTTTTTGAGGTTTAGGGGAAAAAAAACTTTATAAAATGACTGTGTCACGATTAGACTCATTAAACAATTAAATATTATTTAAAATTATATTAAGCTGATATCTGATTCGAAGTTTGTATATCTTAATTCCTTACTTATTGCATTTCTAATTGCTTTAGGCTTGTTTTCCCAGTATATAAATATCAGATAAACAGGAACTCCGGTAGCAATGATAAGAGCTCCAAATCCTGAAAAATAAATAAATATTAAAATGCATACGGATCTTGAAATTTGCTTTTGAAGAATATTAATATGCAAAGAATGGGTTAAAAATACATAAGATTATATAAAAATGCAATTGAGCATTTTTTTTAACTCCTTTAACCAATTTACTCTTCAGGGTGGAAATAAGACCCCACTGAGTACAAAAACTGAATAGGTCAAGAAAAGGAAATGATGCAAAATTTTGCATATTTGTGAATCTTGTGAGAATTTTTGTACATCTAATGAAATATAATTAAATAAAAATTTGAACTTGTAATAGCACAAATTTACTATATAAAACTACAATGCAGGGTTTTCTGTAATCACTGCCATTAGTAAATAATTTTAGAATCCTTGTCAAAAATGATGTACAATAATATGAACCTTCTGGGTTGCCAATTAATGTGAAAGCAAGGAAAAAAGAAAAGCAAAAGCTCAGTCAAAATCTTTTGAGTCACTAGTGAGGAAATATCTAAAAAGGTTTGATTGCCTTGGAGACATTTCTAATCATCGTCCTTCAACAATCATTTTTTAAAAATGCTGAATCAAATCATTGATTTCTATGTTTGTCTCTGTAAATTATAATTTCTCTCGGTAAACTGTATTAAATAATTTTGTAGTGTATAATTTCTATCCGCTTCTATTCTGTTAAGCCTAGTTCGAATTCTCATTACTATTCTCTCTAAACTATGTGTTCGTTCTATAAACTAATTTCGTTTCAAAAATTACTGTATGCATGCATTCAAAATTAATAATTTTTACTTTTATTATCTCATAAAAGTGACTTAACTGACTCTTATGTATAACTTATCTTTCTGAACTTATCTTTCTGTGATTATAAATATTTGTGTTACTAAATAGCAAAAAATGGCTTCGGTTCTGTTAAGTCTAGTTCAAATTCTCATTACAATTTACTTTAAATTATGCATTTGTTATATAAACAAATTTCGTTCCAAGAATTATTGTATACATGCATTCTAAATTAATAATTTTTACTTTATATTATCTCATAAAAATAACTTAACTGACTCTTATGTATATCTTATCTTGTTGTAATTATAAATATTTGCGTTACTGAATACCAAAAATGGTTTCAGTTCCGTTAAGCCTAGTTCGAATTCTCATTACTATTATCTCTAAACTATGCGTTTGCTTCATAAACTAATTTCATTTCAAGAATTACTGTATATATGCATTCTAAATTAATAATTCAGGGTGTTTTGTCATAATTGCCTTTAATATCCATTTTTAGAATCCATTTCAAAAAAGAAATTAAAATTAAAAAAGTTGCAAATTAATATTTAAGTGAGGAAAACGAAGCAAACAAAAACTCCATAAAAATTAGACGAATCACTTATAAGGTAGGCTGCAAGAAAAATAGAAAAACCAGTTTGTCTCAGTTTCCTCTGACAATAGAATAGATTTTTAAACTTTCTCAATAGTGAATTGTTATATTTCTATAACTTTTCTCTCCCCTAGTCTTTATTAATTTGAGACAACTAATTTGTGTACCATTTTGAAAAGGATTCTAAAAAATATACATTAAAGTTGCTCATCACGTTCTAGCATATCATTAGATATTTGAAAGATTATGCCATTAATTCATTTACACTTACAGGATAATCGAATTTACAGGATGCTGCAATTTACAGGATAGTTCAATTTACAGGATGATTCAATTTACGGGATAAATTATCAAATATAAACATTAAAAAAAAATTTATCTCACCAGTTCCAACAGGATCTGCCATCATAGGAACTACTGTGATAAATATGGTAGCAATGATATAAATAATGGGAAATATAAGATGTACCTGAAAGAGGGAAACATTTTAAACACATAACTCTTTACACCGTTAAAATTTATAAATTCATTGTACAGTATGACAAAAAAAACGAGACAAAAGGAATAACTTTTGATCTAATGATCGGATCTTCGCATTCTAACACTCATTCTTAATGGTTTGAGGGGGTGACCTCAAATATGCTAATTAATTACTGCAGATGATATTTTAAGTTACGAAATCAGATACGAAAACGTACTTTCACAAAATTAACATAAATTTTTCGACGAGTCAGGATTTCTGATCCCCAAAATATAGGGAGTTAAATACAAGGAATTATGGTCCCCATAGTTTGGTCAGGAGAGAGATCCAAAGTTTGGACCCCTTAATGCTGATTTTACTTTTTGCGCATTTCACCATATCTCTAGAACATTTTAAGCGCATTGAAAAACCTTTGCACACAATTACTAAATTCATACGTTTATTCAAAAAATATTCCGCATAAAAAATAAATTTTAGTGAATACTTATTATGTTTTTTATTATTTTATTAAATAATAGTGGAAATTTTTTTTTAATTTTAAGGTATAAAATTCTTTACGACATTTTAAAGTATGAAATTTTGCATGGCAAAATACAAAATTTGAGCGAAATCGGTTGAAGAGCTCCTGTGAAATTGAATTTTAAATATACGACTTCTTTAAAATTTGATTTCGCAGGAACTATTCAACCGATTTCTCTCAAATTTCGTATTTTGACAGGTAAAATTACATATTTTAAAATGATATAAAAAATTTTATATCTTACAATAATTTTATTTTTACTATTATTTAATAAAATATAATAAATATTTACAAAATTTTTTTTTCTCGCATGGGTAAACGAATTTTAAAATTGAGTGCAAAGATTTTTCAATTCGCTTACCAAGTTCTTGAGACATGGTGAAATACGCAAAAAGTTAAAGTTAACATTAAGAGGTTCAAATTTTGGATCGCTCTCCTGATCAAACTATAGGGACCATATTTCCCAGATTGCGGCTATCCCCCATATTTTTGGGAGTGAGAAATCCGATTTCGTTGAAAAAAAGGTATGCTTATTTTGAGAAAGTACGTTTTTGTGTTCGATTTTATAACATAAAATATCGTCTATACCAATTAATTAGCATATTTGAAGTTACCCCCTCAAATCATTAAGATTGAGTCCTAAAATATGAAGATCCGATCATTAGATCAAAATTTACTCAAGGTTGTCCTTTTTTTTTTGGGAGGGGGGAGGTACAATGTTCAATGTTATTGTTATAATTTAAAATGCGAACAAACACACAGGTGAGGCAGCTTGCACTTGCTCGAAAAATTTCAATATTTTTTTCTTTTTGTCTCTCCAGTCGAATTTAGTAAATGTTAAGAACAAGTCGTACGCAATGAAGCTTTAAAAAGGACGCAATCATTCACGGCGAAAAAAATTCTGATAAAATTTCCGCCCTGTATAGTTATGATATTTCTTATTAAAAAAAAGAGACAAAAAGAAAAAAAAAAACATAATTCTGGCTAAAAAGGCTAAAATATACGGTATTTGGTAGTTTTTCCTTTCATATGGTAACATATATATTTTAAACATTTTCTATGAAAAGCATATTTTGTTTTTACACTGAGACACTTATTGTTAACCTAGTATTTCTTTGGCGACCGACACTGTTTTGATTTGAGACGTCCATTTGCAAATTCAGCTAAGTGCACTTTTGGAGAGAGAAAAATGAGTTGACTTCTTTTCCCTAACTTTTATTTTAATACAAGCATGCTCTGATTCCAATATTAACTATTAATTATTAAATTACTATTGTTTCAAATTAAAATAACATTTCAAGAAAATGTCATACTTATAGAAATACATTATTTCCACAATATTGCATTGTTCAGAATCTCGCGTGTTTCTTCGAGTATTGTTAACCTTTAAACAATGTATGATAATCTAATTAAATATAATATTAAAATGTCACTAATCGTTACTACATACGGTGTAGTTTATGAAAAATTTTACCCAAATCGTAACAAATTAAATAATTTTCGTTTTTTCTTATCCAAAATAATTGTCAAGTTTTTATTTAATAGCATAGTTTGAGCTCTGTGATTTTTGAAATTATACAGACACGGCAGTTTCCATAAATGTTTATTATATAGCTGTATAAAATAAATTATTTGAAAGCATTCTCTAATGGTCGCATATTTTAAATTTTCAGAATAATGACAAACAGAAATTGCAAACTTTAACTAGCATTTTTAAAAAAAAAAAATTTCAAATTTGAGTCATGAATTTTTAAAATAAATTATTTGAAGGCATTCACTAATGGTTGCATTTTCCTAAACTTTCAGAATAATGACTAACAGAAATTAAAAAAAATTAAAGTTTAACTAGCATTTTTCAAAAAGTTTTTTTCAAACTTGAGCCATGAATTTTAAAATAAATTATTTGAAGCCATTCTCTAAGGGTCGCATTTTTTTTAAACTTTCAAAACAATGACTAACAGAAATTAAAAATTTGTAAAGTTTAACTAGCATTTTTTTAAAAAAAATTTTAAAACTTGAGTCATGGATTTTTAAAATAAATTATTTGAGGGCATTCTGTAATGATCGCACTTTCCTAAACTTTCAGAATAATGACTAACAGAAATTAAAAATTTGTAAAGTTTAACTAGCATTTTTTTAAAAAAAAATTTCAAACTTGAGTCATGGATTTTTAAAATAAATTATTTGAGGGCATTCTGTAATGATCGAATTTTTTTAAACTTTCAGAATAATGACTAACAGAAATTAAAAAAATTTAAAGTTTAACTAGCATTTTTCAAAAAGTTTTTTTCAAATTTGAGTCACGGATTTTTAACAAAATTAAAAGAAAAAAGAATATTTAAAAATAATTCAAGTCTATTTTTGTTGTGGAAAAAATATTTCTTTTGAGTTTAGTATTTTGCAACTATTGGCACAGATGGGTAAATAAATGATGTAGTAATGATAAAAAATTGCCTTATGGCAAAATATATTTAACCAGATTCCTACTTTGATGGGTCGTGGCAGATTCGGTTGTTTCCACCTCAAATATGGAAGGCAAACTACAGCAAGACCAATAGCTAACCATGTTGCAAACCCCACGTAATTTATTAAAGCATAAATATCACTTGAGCATAGGTACAATATGGATAGAAGGGCCTAAAAGTAACAATTACAGTACTTTAAACATATATTCCGGCAAAATAGAGTTTTTTTTTAATATACAGTAAGAATGTAAACAAAACCACTTATCGTACCATAGCTATAACTGCAGGTGCAGGAGTGAGATGTTTAACTTGAATCATTGCCAATATTCTTGGCATTTGACCATATTCAGCTCCAGCATAAAACAATCTAAAAACATAATAAATAAATAATAGTAAATTAATAATAAATAAATAATAACATTTTTGTCTAATTTTGAGTCTTTTTGTTATGATGCAGTTCGATAATCTTTTAAGGTAGTGAAAATGTATGAAATGAGCAACGTGTTAAAGAGATAATCTTACCTTGATGAAGTAAACAAGATTCCGTTAACACCACCGTATGTGGACATAGCAACAAATACAGGCATGATCCAAGCCATTTTACCATACATACTATCTGCAAACGTCTAAAAAATAATAATCACAGTTAGAGTTAAAAAATTTAAATTTAAAAAAAAGTAGGTAGCAAATTACTACGATTGAAGATAGAACTGAAAACATCAATAGAAATTTAAAAGCTTGGTGAACTTCTGAGGTGTTTCTAATGATTGCCGTTAAACCACTACTATGACTGATACACGTTAAATCTCTCGAGTCGCAAAGTCCTCCATGTTCCCATAACAAATCAATACCTCTGAGGGTACTGAATTGGAGATTGATCGTTCTCTGATTTAGGTCAAAATTACGATCTGTGAATGAATGAATGGATGTATGAATGGGTTCCGCCCTGTAAACGGGCGTGAAGTATGGGTGTGGCAGAAGTCGAATTCTCGGCCATAGGTGGCGCCACTGAAAAACAAGAACAATCGCACCTCTCTGCCTTTGCATACTTCAAACCACTACTTTCTGTTTCCTCTGGTAGATACATAGCTGTGTCTATTTTCTCATACACGCATTTCGAGCTGTGTCTATTTTCTCAAACACGCATTTTGAACTGTGTCTATTTTCTCACACACGCATTTCAAGCTGTGTTCATTTCTTAAAAACGCATTTTGAGAAGTGTCCATTTTGAACACGTATTTTGAGCTGTATCTATTTTCATGAACGCGCATTTCGAGCTGTGCCCGTTTTTTTAAGAACACGTTTTGAGCTGTGTACATTTTCTTAAACATGCATTTTGAGCTGTGTCAATAATGAAAAAACTCACAGATGAGTACTTAAAAAAAACTGTTTTTGAATAAATATGAAGTGCTCCTGAAGAGATCCTTGAAAATAATTCGCCATGTATAATTATTCAAAATAAATAAGTTATACAAAGTAACTACGCGTCATAGTAACTAATTATTATTATTACTTTCTTTTATTTTTGGTAAATCTCTTAAAAATTCAATTTATTTCTAGAGATGAATAATGCCTTTGATGAAACATTTTAATGTACTTCAAACAAAACGATACAAATAATTTAAAATGTACCAAACAATTACAGCTGATAAAATCTTTCTTAAGATAACTTACGACAGCAACAGCTTCAGCCCCAAGAACTTCAGCTACAGATAATGTTGTATGAAAAGCTACAACAGTCATGGTATAAACAACAGTTACTAAAATGCAAGAAATGAAGATAGCTCTTGGAAGGTTCCTGTTGAATAATCAATAATTGTTTAATCTATTAAGAGAATTGGTATTAAATGTAGCTATGGAAAATAAAATATTCAGTTCTTACTTGTGAGGTTCTATTAATTCTTCAATTACAAAGTTAAGATAGTTCCTGCAAAAAAATTTAAAAATAAATTAAACTATCAAAAATAAATATCATATTTACTTTTCAAAATATGCTTTAGACATCTCGAAAAGTAAATGTGTTGCGAAAAACTGCTGTTTTCTCATATTAAATTCTAAGCAAGCATTGCACGTACATTTTCTCAGGGTTCGAATCCCACCGATGTCTGGTCGATACGAATCCGCATCTGGCTTGCACCGACCACAGTGCTAACGTGAAATATTCTCAGTAGTAGACGGATCATAGGTTAGAGTCCCCTAGCCGTCTGGCTAGCTGTGGGAGGTTCTCGTGGTCTTCCTCACCACGTAAGACCGAATGTGGGTTAGTTCAATCAAAAAGTCCTCCACGAAGGCAAATTTTTCCCACTTCGTGATCCAGGAGTTCCCTTGTCTTCTGGATTGGATTCAAAATTACAAGGCTACGTAGTTGAACATTAGTAGTAGCAAACCCAAAACATTGAGTCTGCTGTTCAACGACGGTTATAAAAAAAATTTATTATAGATGCGTTATTTTATTCAACAAGGGTTTAAATTTGAAAATTACAAAACGCTTTTAAGCATTCTTCCCCTCCCCCCCCCTCATTTTCTAATAATACTTTCAATTAAAAAAATACTAAAAAAAAAAAAAAAAAAACATATCGAAAACTTGTTTATATGAGTATTCTTATGACTGACCTTATAATTCGTTACAGGGATAATTTTATTGCTTCTTTACATTTTTCTTACACAAACAACTTTCTGATTCGTAGTAGTATTCATATGGAGATGACCTTATGATTCACACTAGTACTCTTGCAAAGATGTCCATATGATTCGTTTTAGTATTCCTACGGGGGGGGGGATGCCTGAATTGACGAAATGTTAACACAGGTGGGCATTCGAAATAAAAAAAAAAATAAATAAAAGTATTCCCTACGGAGATGATCTTATATAATTCACATTAGTATTCAAGGATGGTTTTATGCTTTGTTTTAGTATTCTTAAAGGGATGACCACTTGGATCGTATTCTTAAGTGCTTCTATCTTAAAGTGCTGACCTTATGATATCGTTATTCATACGAAGGTAACTTAATGATCCGTTTTAGTATTCTTACGGAGATGACCTAATGATTTGCATTAGTATTCTTAAGGAGATGTTTTTATGTTTTGTTTTATTCCATTGCATTAAGACCTTTGGATTCGTATTAGTTATCTTAAAGTACATAACCTTACGATTCGTTTTCGTATTCTTACGGAGATGGTTTTATGCTTTGTTTTAGGGGATTATGCTTTGTTAGGATGGTTATATCATTTGTTATAGGGGATGATCATTTGGATTGCATTATAATAACCGTAAAGTGTTGACCTTATGATTCGTTATTTTTACGGAGATAACCCAATGGCTCATTTTAGTATTCTTATGGAGACGACCTAAGGATTTTCATTAGGTGGTGAAGTTGTGCTTTGTTGTAGCACTCGTAAAGGGATCACCATTTGATTCGTATTATAATAATCTTGGAGTGTTGACCTTATGATTCGTTATTTATACGAAGATAGCCTTACGGTCCGTTATAGTATTCTTAAGGGGGTGAATATTTGGATCGTATTAGAATAATCTTAAAATGTTGAGCTTATGATTCGTTATTTTTACGGAGATAACCCTATGGCTTATTTTAGTATTCTTACGGAGACGACCTAATGATTCGCCTTAGTGTTTTTACGGAGACGACCTAATGATTTGCCTTATTGTTTCTACGGAGACGACCTAATGATTTGCTTTAGTATTCTTACGGAGACGACCTAATGATTTGCCTTAGTGTTCTTACGGAGATGAATTTATGCTTTGTTTTAGCACTCACTCTTAAGGGTATGGCCATTTGATTCGTATTATAATAATCTTAAAGTGCTGACCTTATAATTCGTTATCTATATGGAAATAACCTTAAGTTATATTTTAGTATTCTTACGGCGATGGGTTTATGCTTTGTTTTAGTATTCTTATAGGGGATGACCATTTGGATTGAATTATAATGATCTTAAAGTATTGACCGTATGATTCGTTATTTGTATGGAGATACTTTAAATTCCATTTTAGTATTCTTACGAAGGCGACCTATGATTTGCATTAATATTCTTACGGAGATAGTTTTATGCTCTGTTTTAGTATCCTAAAGGGGATGACTATTTGATTCGTATTAGTAATCTTAAATGAATTAAATATTATAATTCTTTATTTATATGGAGATGATTTTATCCATATAAATATTCCTACGGGGATGATCTAATGGTACTCTTACGAGGATGATTTTATACTTCGTATTAGCACTCCCAAGGTATAACCTTATGATTCACATTAGTATTCTTACGAGGCACATTTTATGTTTCTTATTAGTATTTTTATGGTGATGACTTTTGACTCGTTTTTTCACGGGGATAACCTTATGATTATAATAACAAGCAAGTGTTTTAATAAGCAGGTTTGTTACTTAGATAAATTAAAAATTAAAAATAAAAAAATAAAATGCTACTAACGTTTGTCTTCTTACCTTAAACAACAATGAGTTTATTTGTTTAATATATTCCTACTTATTTTTCAAAAATTTTGATTTATTATTTACTATATTTTATTTTTTTTAAAATAAAAATATGGTATTTATCTGCAAAATCAAGAGAGACAAATTGTTTTAAAGTTACTAAGATGTCATAAACTAAACTAAAAAAAAAAGATTTTATAAACGAATGCTTTTATTACTTAAGTGAAATATTCTCTTAGAATCAACTAAACCTTAATAAATCTTCTCCTGAAATTTACTTAAGTGGGGGAAAAACTAGAACTGATACCTAAGCCATCTGCGTTTAATTGAACAAAAATTATGCGTGGGAACTTGAAACAACCTTGATGTTAACCTTTATATGATTTTTAGATTCTAAAAGTTTCGATGCAAAATTTTGTTCTCAAACGTAAACTATAACTTCATAATAAAAAATTCGACTTCTTTTCTTGCATATTGAGCAGTACTTCAAAATGAGCTACTTTTTCTCAAACGTAAACTATAACTTCATAATAAAAAATTCGACTTCTTTTCTTGCATATTGAGCAGTACTTCAAAATGAGCTACTTTTTCTCAAACGTAAACTATAACTTCATAATAAAAAATTCGACTTCTTTTCTTGCATATTGAGCAGTACTTCAAAATGAGCTACTTTTTCTCAAACGTAAACTATAACTTCATAATAAAAAATTCGACTTCTTTTCTTGCATATTGAGCAGTACTTCAAAATGAGCTACTTTTTCTCAAACGTAAACTATAACTTCATAATAAAAAATTCGACTTCTTTTCTTGCATATTGAGCAGTACTTCAAAATGAGCTACTTTTTCTCAAACGTAAACTATAACTTCATAATAAAAAATTCGACTTCTTTTCTTGCATATTGAGCAGTACTTCAAAATGAGCTACTTTTTCTCAAACGTAAACTATAACTTCATAATAAAAAATTCGACTTCTTTTCTTGCATATTGAGCAGTACTTCAAAATGAGCTACTTTTTCTCAAACGTAAACTATAACTTCATAATAAAAAATTCGACTTCTTTTCTTGCATATTGAGCAGTACTTCAAAATGAGCTACTTTTTCTCAAACGTAAACTATAACTTCATAATAAAAAATTCGACTTCTTTTCTTGCATATTGAGCAGTACTTCAAAATGAGCTACTTTTTCTCAAACGTAAACTATAACTTCATAATAAAAAATTCGACTTCTTTTCTTGCATATTGAGCAGTACTTCAAAATGAGCTACTTTTTCTCAAACGTAAACTATAACTTCATAATAAAAAATTCGACTTCTTTTCTTGCATATTGAGCAGTACTTCAAAATGAGCTACTTTTTCTCAAACGTAAACTATAACTTCATAATAAAAAATTCGACTTCTTTTCTTGCATATTGAGCAGTACTTCAAAATGAGCTACTTTTTCTCAAACGTAAACTATAACTTCATAATAAAAAATTCGACTTCTTTTCTTGCATATTGAGCAGTACTTCAAAATGAGCTACTTTTTCTCAAACGTAAACTATAACTTCATAATAAAAAATTCGACTTCTTTTCTTGCATATTGAGCAGTACTTCAAAATGAGCTACTTTTTCTCAAACGTAAACTATAACTTCATAATAAAAAATTCGACTTCTTTTCTTGCATATTGAGCAGTACTTCAAAATGAGCTACTTTTTCTCAAACGTAAACTATAACTTCATAATAAAAAATTCGACTTCTTTTCTTGCATATTGAGCAGTACTTCAAAATGAGCTACTTTTTCTCAAACGTAAACTATAACTTCATAATAAAAAATTCGACTTCTTTTCTTGCATATTGAGCAGTACTTCAAAATGAGCTACTTTTTCTCAAACGTAAACTATAACTTCATAATAAAAAATTCGACTTCTTTTCTTGCATATTGAGCAGTACTTCAAAATGAGCTACTTTTTCTCAAACGTAAACTATAACTTCATAATAAAAAATTCGACTTCTTTTCTTGCATATTGAGCAGTACTTCAAAATGAGCTACTTTTTCTCAAACGTAAACTATAACTTCATAATAAAAAATTCGACTTCTTTTCTTGCATATTGAGCAGTACTTCAAAATGAGCTACTTTTTCTCAAACGTAAACTATAACTTCATAATAAAAAATTCGACTTCTTTTCTTGCATATTGAGCAGTACTTCAAAATGAGCTACTTTTTCTCAAACGTAAACTATAACTTCATAATAAAAAATTCGACTTCTTTTCTTGCATATTGAGCAGTACTTCAAAATGAGCTANGATGACCTCGTTCGACAATTGGATCGAATTTGGCAGGAAATACCGCAAAAGACCATTCGGGAGCTTTATCGGTCTATGCCACGCCGTGTGGCAGCTTGTATCTAGGCTAGAGCCGGGTCAACATCTCATTGAACTTGTTACTGTAACTCTACAATAAATAATTAAATTGTTCTGAAATTTTAATCATTTACTATTCTGTACATTGTCTTCCTATCCACCAATTTTCGTTTCGATCGGACATCTCCTTCTTGGTGCGTCAATTTTTTTGTTATAGAGTGCATATTTGAAACTGGTTTTTTATAAAAAAAATCATTATTTTTCTCAATTTTTTAAAATTTATTTTCAAAAAATCCATTTTAAGGGAGCCCCAAATGATTGGGGGCCCCAGGCCATGGCCTAGTCTGGCCTAATGGATAATCCGGCACTTGCGAAAGGTATAGTGCACATTGTTGGAATTTTCTACGAAAAACTTGTTAAATCATAAATTTTTAGTTGTTATTTTACCATGTTCAAGCAAAATAGTCAAATAACCATAAATAAGAAGGTGTTTAAACTGTTAACTGTAAGAAAAACCGTTTAATAACTGATTTCACCTAAGACGGTTAAATAACCAGAATTTTATCACACCATCTAAGCCCACCTTATATAGCAACTTAGTTCTTTGCAGCTGGGTACCTATTATGGCCGAGAGGGCTAATTTGTCAGTCTCATGACCACCAGAACGGGGGTTCGAGTCTCAGCGTTGACATCACAACATTTCATCCAGCCCCTTCAACCCATGAAGAGTTTTCAGTGTCTGGCAGCCCCCTATTTGTGACCCTGGACTAATAAAATACGATACTCTCATTCACGCATAGACGGCAACACCATAAGGTGACTTAACACAAAAAAGTATTGTATTTCTCAGAACCAGATAAACTAATTAAGCCCCATTCCACGGTTTTGCATTTTAACCATACTACTTGTAAACGGCTTTAAAACCGTAAAGCTAAAAAAATGATCTTTATCGTACATTTAATTCTAAGAGTACAGTATCGATTCGCAAATAAATCAAACAACTCTCACCAAACTTTAATACTCAAGAGACAAATTAAAACTTTTAACATCACGGGGTGAATATGCCAACGTATGACTAACTTTTCCCATCCAAATGCAAAGAAACTTAAACTAGAGTAGAACTTTTAGCATTTTAAACAGCGACGCAGTTGAAGTATGATGTAAATTTTCGACAGTAGGAACGAACATGAAGGCGATTTCTACGCTTTCTCTCTTTATCTCTGTCTAGCGTTGCCACTAAACCTGCTAAAGTATTGTTTCAACTCAAAAGTTTTTACTGTTCGTTGAAAACACACACTGCAAAAAATCCACTTTAAAATATTGCGGAACAATGTGACGACACTTTGGGTGCATCATCCGTAAAATCCATTATACTGAAAAATCCATTTTTTTCATAAAAATATTATACCGTAATTATTACTGCAATATTTATTTTATGAGATTGATTCAGTGATTTTACGAAAATTATTAATTTAAAAATTATGGTATAATAATAGATTTTTATTACGTAAAAATAAATTTTTCGAGGAAAAGTACCTTTTCAATGTGATTTTCTTACAGTGCGCATTTCGACATTTAATCGCTCTAGTCGTAGCCTGTGAGAGTCGAAAAATCGATTTTTATTAAAAATTAGAAAATCGATTCCTTTTTCTGGCACAAAATTTCATTCCATTCCTTCGAACGGTATACTCGCCGGCTTGGATCACGTGATAGCAAAGTTATTTTAATTTTTTTGCGCATTAATAATGTAATTTCAATTACACATAAAAAGCAAATTTTTTTGAACTATTTTATACTAACTATTCTATTTAAAATATAAAGAAACTATTTTACTTAAAATATAAAGAAAATGTATTTATTTATTAAAATTAACAAAACTCATCATCACGAAAATTATAAAAATTATAATCATAAAAAATTTATTTTTAAAACAAACTTTAAGAGCATTCTCAATCACATAAATTTTTTTACAAACTATTTTTTTTACCTAATAATTTTTTTCAATTTTAGAATAGCGATACCAAACTGCCTATTTATAGAAACATTGCATATAACAGAATTCAAAGAAATAAAAAAAGCTTCAAAACTAATGAATTATGATAATCTGGCAAAAAAAGTGTATATAATAGTCTTCTCGGTGTCAAAAATAGAAGATAACCTATCATTATTGTTTACATTAATGCAAGCAAGACTACAACAATCTAAGAATGTTTAAAGGATTTATTGAAATTCTATAAAAATGAATCATTCTTTCTCCTCTTCTTAGCATTTCGGAAATGCATCGAAACAAAGATTTATTTCTCGGAAAATCTGTGTTATGAATAGACCACTTTAAATCTGATCCTAAAGTGTTAAAAAAAGTCAACGATAAGAATTTTTATAGATAAAGCAGTGAGGAGAAACCTTTGCGACTCGTGGCTCCGCCGATTTCACAACTCTGTAACAAATTCCGGTTCAAATTCCGGTAAAAAGGCACTCAAGGTGCTTTATTTTCTTAGAATGCAGCAAATACAATCCGTGGCCAAATTAATAGACGCACTATTAGATTCTATGTAAAATCTCAATTATCGGGTCATACTATACAGCTTTATTGTTTTCATGTGACTGAAACCGGTTTGCACTTGATTACGTTAGTGTATCAATGGATTAAATGAGACGATATATACTATAAATTTGACGATACGATAAATATATTGTATAAATACAGAATAATTATAATATCAAGCATTATATAAGTATATTATAATAATGAGATCAAATTATTAGACGTACTGTAGTTTTTTAATAATGACATGATTTGCACGAGTTTATAAGCGATACTTTTATATTTAAACATACATGTAATGGGTTTTTATATTCCTATATACTTCCCATTTGTATTTATTTTTAACGTATTGCATTACAATGTTAACCAATTCACACAGAAGCGTAAACAACCGGTGTCATGCGAGTAAAAACAATGATAATTATAATTTTACATAGAATCTTAGAGTGGGTCTAAGAATATGGCCAGAGACTGTATAATGAATATAATAAAATAGCTACAAATCGATCATTCAGGGAGCTATGGGAACAAGGCACAGCAGAGTGGACAAAACCGTGAGATAATATTAAAATGTTCGATTTTTACTTAAAAGTAATTTTAAAACTGTGCATTAATTAAGCTGCACAATTTTCAATTACTCTGAAATAAGAGGCAAAAAGGACATAGCAATTTAGCTATATCTGGCGCACTAAAAAGGAATTACACAGTGATAATTTTTTAAATACTAATTTCTGTGTAGCTACACTTACCAAAAATCTATAGCAAAATAATTTGAATGCTTAAAAACTTAATACATAGATTGTTATACAGAATATTTTACAGATTTATGAAGATTGCCTAGCAAATAAACACATTCAATTCTGCTATATTATTCCCATATTAGATTAAGCCTAATTTTTACAATAATGGTATCTAAGCCATGGGGATAAAGCTCACGCCTCCCAATGACCGGTTCGAATCCCGGCGATGGCTGGTTGATTCGAATTCCGCTCCCGGCTCGCACAGACCACAGTGCTCACGTAAAATATTCTCAGTGGTTGATGGATTATGGGTTAGAGTCCCCTTGCCAGCAGGCTAACCGCGGGAGGTTTCAGTGGATTTCCTCTCCATGTAACGCAAATGCGCGTTAGTTCCATCAGAAAATTCTCCACGAAAACAAGTGTCTCCCAATACTTGATCCAGGAGTTCCCTTATCTTCTGGGTTGGGTTCAAAATTCTATTAGGCTACAATAAATTCTGCAATATTAAATAGTTTGCAAGTAATACTGGTTCAAATAATTTTAAATTACATTTATAAAAACAAAAATAAAATATTGAAACATACATTTTGCAAAAATGTATTTGACAAACAAAAAAATAATTCCTTGAAATTCTTAAACTTCGGCAACTATGTAACTTCTTAATTTGAACTTCCAAAGAAATAAATATAGTATAAACTGTAATCTTAGACCTTTTGACCTACATCTATTAGTTTCCTGTGTTGTGGACACGGAAGTAAATATCGGAACTTACTATCAGACATAATATTAATTTGTCATTTTTGTGACATATTATTCAGCCCATCTCAAATACAGCTGCAAGACCTATAATTAACTACTACTGACCAAGGTCAGTTCATTCAAGAATTTACTATCCGGCAACGAGAGTATTCATATGTTTGCAAACTATTTCCAATTTGAATTTGTTTACCCTTGAAAGTTAGTTAAACTAAGTGTTTTTAAACTAGCGCATAATCTAAGGTTCACATCAAAAAGTATAATTACACCAGTAAGCAAAATTATTGTGTAGGAACTTAAGTAGTCAATTAAGTAATTAAGAGAGAAATATCGAATGAAATTGTCATTATTTTAAAATGTGATTTTTAGAAATAGGAAAGAAAAAAAAAAAAAACAATTATCCTGATATTAAATGTTGAAACTTTTTTCTAAGCACAGATGAGCAGTTTTTGACGGTTTCAGCCGTCACGTCAATATATCTGTGATAAAAACCTGTGTCAAGACTTTCTGTGTTAGTCTAAACATATTTTTTATATTTTAATAGTGCATTGCATGTAATGTTTAAGGTCCCTGGATAAATTATTAGACTCACTATAAGATCTCTATGTAAAATCTTAATTATCAGGTGATACTCTATACAGCTTTAATGTTTTGACGCGACTGAAATTGGTTTGCACTTGTTAACGTTTGTGTATCAATTGGTTAAATTAGACGATATGTAATATAAATTCGACGATTGGATAAATTAGACGATATATTAGAGAATATTTATTATATCAGGTATTATATTATAATAATTCAACCAAATTATTAGACGCACTGTAGTTTCTTAATAATTACACGATTTGCACGAGTTTATACGCAATATTTTATATTTAAACATACATGAAATGGGTTTTTATTCAGGGGATTTTTTATATATTTGTATTTATTTTTAACGCATTACATTACAATGTTAACCAACTGATACGCGAACATAAACAAGTGCAAACTGGTTTCAAACGCGTAAAAATAATACAGCTGTATAGTATATACTGATAATTAAGATTTTACAAAGCATCTTAAAGTGCGTCTATAAAGTGCTCAATAGTTGTAGAGTTGCTTTAAAGAAAAAATACTAATAATATAAAAAGAATTTTAAACGTTCCAAAATGCAATTACATTTCCTTATATAAAAAAATAAGGTAATGGCTTAAAATCATTTTTTATTTTGCACTTAATATTTTTTTAAACATTCATTAACATTACTTTGGACAATTTTGTTATTTAAATTAATCTAATCTTGTAATTTGGATTTTACTTAGTCGAATAATTTAACAAAATTAAGAAATAAATAAATTGAAAGTGTTAAATTTTTTGTCTAAAGTTCTGAAACCTTTATTTATTACAAGATCCCAAAAATCCTAAAACCAATCTTACTAATCTTGTAAATCCTTTTAGCAATTAGACTATCAAATCAATAATCAAAAGTAAAAACTGAAGGTCTTTTCTTTACAGAGCGCACAACTAATGCCAGTTTTATTTTTCATGTATATTATCTATTTAAACTGAATAAATAAATACCATTATGAATTAAATACGTGCCGTAAATATCAATTAAGCCTATAAGTTATTCGATGATGATAATCTTTGAATTCTTTATTAGTAATACAATGCACGTTTACTATTTATTAGATTCAGATACACCACAGGTTAAATACCTCAAATTACGCAATGAAAATTGATACTTTGAAAATTTATGAGTGTATCTAACTTATTTTAATTTGAAGCAACTGTAAACAGAATATTATAATACGATGTTAATATGTTAAGTAAGAAATATGAACGAACATTTCAATATTTTTGCACCTTGTTTAGATATCAAATTCTCCTTTTCTTTGGAAAAATGAATTTGCTTTTTATCTATAAATTATAATATCTATAAGAATCGGGTGTTAATCCCGACTTTTAATGAAAGGTTCTTTTTTGTGAAATAGAGAAAAATCTACTTATAATTTAGTAAACTTTTGAAGAAAAAAAAAAGAGTATAATTTTTGTGATTTTCTAAAAAATCAAAAAATACGTGGAGTGTTAAAAATTCCGGATCAAATTACAGTAAAAAGTATTAGCACTTCATCCTTAAAATACATTTTTATCGTTAAATTTTATACCGTTATTTTTACAGTAATATTTACTTAATCACAATGATTCCGTGCTTTTCAGTAAAAGTTACGGTAAAAATTAAGAGATATCGGATTTTTTGTTCCGTAAAATTTTACGGTAAAAATGGATTTTATGGTGAAAAGTAGCAGCACTCAAGGTGCCAATACTTTTTGCGGTGATTTAATTCAGAATTTTTTACAGTTTGGTGTGTCCAAACTTTGTGTGAAAAGACTTGTTTTGATTTAGTGTAAATATTCTCATTTTCTGAATTAAAAAGACCAAAGAATCAAGGTCCTTTTTTCGTGTAAAAGTGAAAATTAAGTTCTGTTTTTGTGTGGAAAGGGGAGTTCTTTCAGGAAGCTGTAGTTTTAAAATTACGAGACGCAAAACGAAGTATTTTTTAAACAGTCCATTTTCAAAAAGAAAAAATATTGATATAAGATAAAATATTTTATGAAGAGTCCGTTTTTACGATATAATCATTTGTACTTGGTCCGATTTCACATTAGGATATTTTGTGTCAATTTTAACTATAAAAAACTGTAAAGAGCCCGCAAATGGTCCCAAGTGTGGGGTTCTAGCAATTAATGGTTTCATAAGATAAAACCGCTATACCTCAGAGGCACTTTTGTTAATTCGATATCCTTTTATGCACATAGACGAAAAAACTTACTATGCCATTTCATAAAAATGTTTCAGCCAAAAGAAATTGCTAATAAATTCCATTTTTTTTTTTTCTTTGGCGATACCCTTTCAACTTTGACATTATGGCCTCTCATGACATGCATCCTTAATTCAACGTAAAGTGGACAATTGACCCTGAAAATGAACTTCATTGTTTTTGGTGCTAAAGATCTAATTTTTTTGTCATGTTTGCTGCGTACTTGCAATACATTAAAAAAAAATACAGAGAATTCTTAAAAAATCTTCTTAAAAAAATACAGAAAATTTACAAGATTCGCATTTAAAATCATTGTGGCAAAGAATTGAAAAATAAATTGTAACGCAAGAAGCATTTTTAATAATGTATTTTATAGTTTAAGACACTTTTTAATGTCAGGTAATTAAAAATGCTAATTGTTTTACAATTCTATTTTAAAATATCAGTCACAAGTAAGGTCTAAGAACGATTATTTTATGAAATGCATTTAAAATATTTGTTTACATAAGTAAACAAAAATAACGAACGCAACAAAGCAAGTTTTGCAATGAAGACTACTACAATACTCAAAATTTCATGTAATATTTATTCTTGATTGTTTAAAATCAAACATTTAAGAAGTTGAAATCAATTGTAAACAATTGTAATGCGAAGTGTTGTTTAACTATTGTTTTAACTATAATCTCCGAATATTTTTTTTAAACTTGGTACCTTAAGGTTTATATATGTGCATTTGACGCAGGGTTGGGTTTTTGACGTCAAAAAGTGGTTTTTGACATGACAAGGGTATAATACTGGTTTAAACCGTCAAAAACCCGTCAAAAATGTCAAAAACTGAAGTTTGCCAAGAAAATATATAAACTTCAAAACTACCAACAGTTGCCATGCATTATATTGAAATTTAATTATACTATAGGTAATCAGCAGGTTTTAAAATATTTTTTAATTAAAATTAAGGTAAAATAACAGATTTAAAATCTCAGAAATTTATATTCAAATGCATGTGCAGAAAAATTTTGCACAAAAATTGTTTAAATATTTATATTTAAAAAAAAAATTTTTTTTTTGATACTTAAGAAAATTAAAAGTTTATTACTATGCATTTTTGACATATAAGGAACATATAACTAATATTTATAAGGAACTTACAAGTTATGTTGTATAAATACAAACTTGATACAAGTGTATGAAAAAAAATTTTAATGTTATACCGAATATCTTTATTATCCAGTATGTTAATTTGAATTTAAAAGTAGTTATATTTATGAATAATGATAAATATAATTCATATTGTTTATTATATTTATTTATAATTATTACACTTATCATTTTAAAACAATTTTTATCTCTTAATTTTTTTTTCTCCACTTGTATTAAGAATACAAATAATGCATATCTTGAAAGCAAGAAGTAATTATTCAACAGCTGAATATTTAGATATTCAACAAAACTATATA